CAGCCAAGGGGAGCAGAGACACGTGGGCCCTGGGACCGCGCCTGGCGCACAGTAGGCCTGGCGCACAGTAGGTGCTCAGTCGCCATGTGTGGGTGGGGAGTGAGTGAATGAACCGAGCCCGCAGGCATCTATGATTGCGGTACCTCAGGGACACCAGGGCTGTGTGTTCTCCTTCTAATCAGGGGAGGGAGGTCACGGGAGAATGTGGGCGCCCCAGGCGCCTCCAGTGAAAATGCCTCAAACAGAACTTTGCCGGGGACACTGCAAGATAGAAAGCCGTGGGGACAGCCTTTATGAGGGCGTGGCTCACTTAGAATAAACAGCAGGAGGGAAACCGGGGCTCCTGCAGGTGTGGGTCCTCGGGCGGGAAGGGAGGGCGCCAGGCCGCGGCGGGGCCAGAGGGGCCGCAGTCCCGTAGCTGCCTTGAGCGGAGGTGACAGGTCTTGTCGGCTCCTCAGACTGCCCCCTGCTCCCCCGGGAGACGGGATGGTCACAGGGTCCTGACTGTGGGGTCCAGAGGGAGGAACAAGAAGTCACGAAGCTGCCTTGAGCGAAGGTGACAGGTCGTGTTGGGTCCTCGGACTGCCCCCTGCTCCCCCGGGAGACGGGATGGTCGCAGGGTCCTGACTGTGGGGTCCAGAGGGAGGAACAAGAGTGGGACCGCGGGTGCAGGGAGCAGAGGTGGCCTGTCAGGCCCTTTATCTTCGCACCAACGTCCTCTTCCCGCCGGGAAGTCCTGGCCCAGCCTCCGCAGCTCCCGTCCATCCCTGCAGGTGGCTCCTCGCCTGCCCACTGCGCCTTGAACCATTTGTCCATCTAATGTGCAAAGACTGTCCCCAAGGGGGGCGGGCACGGCTTTCCCCTCGCACCCCCCGCCCCCTCCATTCCGGAGCAGTGATCTAAGGAGCCTGAGTGGCTGGGAGTCCGGGGTTCTGTGGCTCCCCATCCCCCAAGCCCCCGCTGTTGCAGGTGACCGGCTCCACCTCGGACCCGGACCCCATGGGGAGGGGGCCTCCTCGTGAGCCACTGAGCAGGCAGCCGACCCTGCGGCTCTGCCTGACTCTGCCCTCTGCTCTGTCCTCGCTGTAGAAACGCTGGCGGGCTGCAAGCTGAACGTGGCCGAGGTGACGCAGTCGGAGATCGGGCAGAAGCAGAAGCTGCAGACGGTGCTGGAGGCTGTGCAGGAGCTGCTGCGGCCCCACGGCTGGGCGCTGCCCTGGACGGTGGACGGTGAGCACTGCCTGCCTTGGGAGGGGCGCCTGCAGGGGGAGGGGCATGTGCAGGGGGAGGGGTGTCTGCAGGGGGAGGGGCGCGTGCAGGGGGAGGGGCGCGTGCAGGGGGAATGAACACACCGGTTCACACTCCTGCTCAGGCCAGGGGGCTAGGAGAGGAGGAAGCCAGCGTCCCCATGCCCAGGAGCTCAGGCACAAGGGACTCAGTCGCACCCCCATTCTCTGTGCCCCTCCCCCCTAACTTCAGAATAGAGTGGGGGTGTTTCTGGTGGGGACATCGGGGGACCGCAGAGGAAGGCTGGTCCCAGAGCAGCAGGAGCCCAGCTGTCCT